CCTGATCCCCCATTAACCCAACTGCCTCTGTCACCAGAGGCACCTCACTGACGGGAGAATCATAAAGTATGGAGAGATCACTTGGTGAGCACTATTACGCAACATGTCAGCAAGTAAAAACCTATTTTCAAAGACAATGAATGTGAAATTTCACAACAGATGTGAAGACCCCTTGAATCCACTGCCAGATGCCACTTACTGGCAGGCTAAGCAACTGACACTGATAGCTAACTGTCCTCCTTTGTGAGGTTCATGTTCAGAATAAAATTATTGATACCATCAAGGAGTCAAAAGGCCAGGACTGAAAACAAGAAATAACAGAAACTTTAGAAAAATACTTCGTTAAGGAATTACAAGCCGGGCGGTGGTGGCGCACTCCTTTAATCCCAGCACTCGGGAGGCAGAGGCAGGCGGATCTCTGTGAGTTCGAGGCCAGCCTGGTCTACAGAGTGAGTTCCAGGAAAGGCGCAAAACTACAGAGAAACCCTGTCTCGAAAAACAAAAACAAAAACAACCCCCCCAAAAAAAAACAAACAAAAAAAAGGAATTACTAAAACTCCAAACAGGAGGCCATCTCCTCATAGTTTTATGAATTCAAATGAAAACTTGGAATGTCTCCCCATACACATCTCTAATTCTCGTTGACAGACCTGATATGCAACTGCTTCAGGGCACAAAGACACCCTAGTCAAAACAGCAGTCCCTGAGGGCGGCCAGCACTGAAGGAGAGACAGAGGGAGACGGACCCTGTTCCCTGGTAGCTGAAACCTCAGGCAGGGACCCTTCCCAGCATCCTTTTCATGGAGATGATTTTGTTGTCATGTAGGGGTAGGGTCCTTGTCCGGTGTCCTCTTCATGAGGATAACTTTATTGGCACATCCTGCCAGGAGTTCAGATTAAGACTCTTTGGCCTGTAAGAATGGAAAAGGCCTGAGGTAGGAAGTGGACACTGGTATGAATCCCTGAGGTAGATGGGGAGCTCTTGGAGCCAATATGGCTAGCCTCACTCTCAAGACGACATCCGCATGTACACATGGAGAATGCAGTCTGATCCTTCTAAACAACACACTGCCAGGCCTCATAGGAACGAAGTACTGTGTCCAAAGCAAACCCAACAGCAGAACAGGATCAATGAGCACGCAGTTGGGGAGCACCATCTACAGGTCTCAAATACCCCACTGCTCAAACAGAAGCAGCTGAAAGGTCAGGTGAATGCCTCTCTCCAATAGACCATGGTTATGCTCAGGGTCCCCTAGGTTACAATGACCCCAGGAATCTCTGGGCACTAAAAAGTTGTGAGTCATTTCTTTTGGCCGGTCCTGAAAGCATTAAAAATGAATGTCACCACGGGACACAGACAATCAATTAATATATACGTTTTTTAAAAGGCCGTCAGCAGTGCCCTGCGCCGTCAATGGATCCAAAGGCAATCAGTAAGTGAAGAGAGCCAGCCTCCAAGGTCACACTAGTCTGTGGCCATTTGTTCACATCGTGAGTCCTGGTGAGCATGTGCATGAGGCTGGCCCTGGACGTGAATGCCACTCAATCCTTGTTCCAGGGAAGTTATTCTCGGAAAGCCTTCCCTTTGCTAGCATCCTACATGGAAGCTACAGCTAAAGATTAAACTGTTAACTGCTAAGTATTCTTCCTTTAGAAACATTTCGAGAACCAGAACACTGGCTACCTCCGGAGAACTTCAAACCAGGTAAGGAAGACTCACTGTTAGTCTTCAGTTCTGTATGTCAGCTCACACAGAGCATGTAAACTGATGTGAGGTTTAACTTACAGAGAAGGACGCTCCTGTCTGAGGAGACTGTAGGTACTAGCCCTGGGACACTGCGTTTCAGATGTTCTGGCCACAAGACAAAAAATCAAGACACACATTGCTTGGCAAAGACCCACTGTCCACCACCTTACCATCCTTCCTTTCCCTTGCCATAAAAGACCTCTGTTCCTGAGTCCCCTAAGACAGGCTTTTGGGGGTGGTGCCCCCTGGTCTTCCAGCATGGCAGTCCTCTGTTAATATGACTGACTCTTTTTCCCTCAGCTCTTGGCTCCCAAACATTGGCTTTCCAGTGACGAGCAACCTAAACATGGACCCAGTGGCATTAACCCCCTCAATGGGTCTCTGGGAGCACGTGACCAAACAGAAGTGATTGTCACACTTCTGAAAAAAAAACAAAAAAAACAAAAACTGTCTTTTCACTGGACTCAAGGGAACCTCGAGGCTGTCTTCACACTCAGGCAGAACTGCTTCATGAGCTCTGAGACTATTTATTAGTCAACGACATCCAAGAGAGCTCCACAATATGCTGTTTTCCTTATTATCTTAAGGCTACATTTTACAATATTAATCTCAAGTAAATGATTTATGCTAAACAATTTTTCCTGGTAAATAGAAGCTTGATTCTTTAAAAAGATGACAGTATGTTGTAAAATAAAAAAATATATATCACAAAAAAAAAAAAAAAAAAAAAAAAAAAAAAAAGATGACAGTATGTTTTATTCTGAGTTTTAAGTTCAGTGTACCCCAGGAGAGCAAGAATACTCTAGAAGAAATGGACTTTCAAAGTCAGCTCACATGGGCGTGTGAGCTGACAGACAGAGTGCAGCCCTGGACCTCTACACACCTAGGCAGATTCTTCTTGTCTCCTTTTATTTGGGGAAAGCCGCCATGAGACTTCAGAGGCACACTGTGTACTCTTGGCACGTATCGACAGGCAAGTCGGGCCCAGGGGACTACAGAACCTTGTTCCCCAGGCGCTCCTTTCTTAGGCCCAGGCTGTCACACTCCTGTCCCTTGCTCGCTCTCTCTGCCTTGTCCACAGGGACCCCCCCATCCTGGCTCCCTTTCTTCCCTCTATCCTGGGTGAAGGCTTTCCCCCACTTGGGTTCGTCTTCAGTCCTCCTGGAAAACCTGGCAAACTCAGAGTGACTGCTGTGCTTTCTGCAACCATCTGGGTGACATCTTGGAGTTTCAGGTTCTTTCTCTCGATATCTTTTGTCCCTTTGCTCTTTATCACTGCCATCCTGTAACCTGTGAGTCAATACAAACGGTCAATAACTAACTGTAGGCAGATGGCTGATTATCTGTCTCCCTTCTAGACTCTGAATGGGGTGCCAGGACCTGAGCCCATCACTACAGGGGTGCATAGACCTGAGCTCATCACCACAGGGGTGCACAGACTTGAGCCCTTCACTACAGGGGTGCACAGACCTGAGCCCATCACCACAGGGGTGCACAGATCTGAGCCCATCACCAAAGGGTGCACAGACCTGAGCCCATCACTACAGGGGTGCACAGACCTGAGCCCATCAC